CAAATAATAAAAATAAGTTTTCTGAATTTTATCATGTGTATATAATACATGATATTATGACATGTACATCATGTTTATATTGCAAAATACTTATTGAAATTATAATAAACTTTGAAAACTATTAAAAACTATTAAAGATAATTTCCAGAATGAAAATTATTACAGATAAAGTAAAACTTATTATCTTAAAAATATTAAAAATTAAATGCTACTTACTCTTTCCAATAAATAATAAAATTATTCAAGTATTACTTATCCAACAATTTTTAACAGATTATAAATAAATATAACAAATATATTACAGAGAATATATATTAAAAAATATTTTACACTTGACAATTTCTTTTAAAAATCTGCGCATACGCACAACTCTTCAACGCATCACAGCTACACTAAATTCATCACCGCAAACATAAAAACGTTCAAATCTGCATCTCTACAAATGTTTGTTCAATTTATCTGTAGTAAGTTCTCACATATTTGTCACACTAGCAATGCAAACTACAAGTTAGATTGACGGATAATTAAATGGAAATAATACGCTCAATTGACTGACATCGTAATTGTGAAGCATATGTTTTTCAGTTCACTTGCACACGAATACTAATCGTACTTTGTCAGTTACTATATTAACCTGTAATTTTTGTTTCAATTCGAAGTATATGCCTCTAAATGCATCATTGATGCGTAACGTGTCTCTTCTTTGTCCAAACAAATTTAATCACCATCTGTCGAAAACAAAGGAAACACGTGCTTCATACCTTCTAATATAACAGCTGATTATCTCGTTTAATAAATACGTTGCATATATACGCGTTATTTATATATACGTATATATATATAAATACACAACCTAAATTTATATTATTACAGTATTACATTTGAACTTGGATAACATTCCAACTTTATCCTATGTATATGTATCATCAAAACTATAACTACACAATAATGTTTAACTGTGTAACTATATAATAATAAGATAATTTAAGTTATTTACTGAGACAGTGTAATGCGTAACAAATTCTAAGAATATTATAATTAATATCTATTGCATAAAGAAGTTAATAACGGATTTTTAATGGATTGACAATTAAAAATAATTTCTGAAATTATTTTCCAAAGTTTTATTCAATAAAATAAACTTTTCTATAAGTAGCGACACATGGAGTAATTGAATATTTAGATCATCTTTTTTTAAAATGTGTAAACATTGCAACATTTTTTCTTTTGCTTTGTTATTATTTGAATGTTGAATCATCATGATTGCATAATGTTAATTTTATGTAAATTCAAAAATAAATATAAAAATTAATACAACTGTTATGGTTTATAATTTTATTCATTATTTATAATTTCAGCTTAATGTCTATCTGTTATCTGTTAAGGTTAGGTTTTTGTCATTTCGAACACTTTTCACACATTTTTATTTTCAAATCAAATTATGCAATAAGTGTTACTATAAATGTTACTTTAATGAAAAAATATAATTATTTGTATGGTCCATGATAACGGTGTCTATATCTTTTATCAGAATATCTTCTATCTCTTCTGTGATCATTTCTTGTATTTCGTGAATACCAAGGATCTAAAATTGGTGGATCTTTTTTCTTCATATTCTTGGTTTTAATAAATTCACTATCCTTTTCTGTATAACGATCTTTAAATTCATTTTCACATTCATTTAGAAATTTTTTCTGTTCAGCAGTTAGATTTTGCTCTTCCATATTACTTTGTTAATGTGTTTGACCTTCGTAATAATAATAATAATAATAATGTATGAATGAAATGTAAAATCAAAACCCAATAAAAAATATATTTCAAACAAACTATTCAAAGTCTACAAAAAACTTATAACATAATTATAAGTTGTTCTATTATTATACATATAACATTATATACATATATAACAAAAATACAAATTACTTTACGAACATATTTTGTAAATAATTATATCTTTCTAAGATAAAAAACATTTACTTCAGTAATACCTACACTACAAGTAGCTTTTATGCTGATTACTTCGTTTAAACTTTAAATTTATATAAACAATGAATTCTACTTGTTGGAAGTAAACTGACTACTTCCTATACACTTCAAATCTCAAAAAATAATATAGATTTATAGGTTAGGTTTTATTTTATAAAACAAATGAGTATAGTGCCTGCAGCAATATGGCACCAATTATGGCGTCTTCATGCAAACAGGCTTTAAAGAATTTTGGCGGTACAACTATCAGCGTACATGTCTCATATTTCTCTGCGTGCTATTCAGTTGTGAAAATACGAGAAAACGTGTTCATTTATAATTATTTTAAAAGTTAGGAATACATTTCTATTACACTTGTTTTGATTGAAACATAAAGAATTTGTATTTTACAAAGCGTAATAATTTCTATACAAAAATTCGATAAAAGTAATCGATTTTATTCAACATGATATCCGCTATCATACCGAACGCTGAAAATTATGAGACAGAAAAACAAATAAAAGTTGAAAATGATACAGAGGAGCAGAAAATACCTTTAAATAATTGTGCTACTGAAGATGATAAGAACACAGGTAAGACTTAAATAGTGATTTAAAGATACGAAATATGATCTAAGCAATAAAGACTATATTTAATATTCATCTATCAGTGAATGAAACCATGATACTTCAAGAAAAGAATAACGATAGGAAAAAACTTCGTAATGGAAAATATATTCATACTGAACCTACATCTACTGTGAATAAAGTTAATGGAAATATTAAGAATGGGTCATCCCAACAAAAAGCTCCATCGAAAAGATCTATTAAAAGAAAAAGCAATGGAGCTGAAGAATTGTTGGATGTTAAGACTCCTATGCTAACACCAAAAGAAGAAGTAATATTTGATAGTAATCCTGATTCACAATTGAGTAAGCAGCAATCAGATTCAAATGATGAACCTGAAAGCAATATTCTTAAGAAGACTAAAACTGAAAATAATATTGCAATAAATACAGAAGAATCCAAAATATTGCATCAGAAATCTACTAATGTTCAACAAAAATGTGAATATTGTTGTCAGAAGTTAATAAGTACAGACGTAATACTATATCCAGGTCATCCTAATGGTGCAGTAGAAGAAATGATTGCATTAACAGACTCTAGATTATCTTTATTCACAGGAGAAGAAGCTATGGTTCATGAAAGTGATGAGAGGCCACAAAATAAAATAACTCACTTTTGGTAAGTATTCCTTATGATAAGAAAAATATGTAATTGATTTTCAATTAAATTTCATTTCATATATTATTTAATTTTCTTTTTATAGTGTATATGATAAAAATGGGCATTTGTGTTCTTTTGATACTGGCCTAATTGAAAAAAATGTAGTACTTTATTTTTCTGGTTATATGAAACCTATTTATGAAGAAAACTCATGTCCAGAAGGAGGTGTGCCTACAAAAGATATGGGACCAATAAATGAATGGTGGGTGTCAGGATTTGATGGTGGTGAATTAGCACTTGTAGGATTCACTACAGCATTTGGAGAGTATATATTGATGGAACCTGCTGAAGCATATGCACCATTCATGGATTCTGTGAAAGAAAAAATTTATATGAGCAAAATAGTCATAGAATTTTTATTAGATGAGATCAATCCTACATATGAAGATTTATTAAATAGATTACAGGTAAAGTATTTATTTAAGATACAAAATTTGTATTACTGTAATTTTAACTAAAATGTATTTTTTTTCAGACTATAGTTCCACCAAAAGGATTATCTAGATTTACAGAAGATTCTTTGTTACGGTATGCACAGTTTATCTGTGATAGAGTTATTTCCTTTGATGCATCAGCAACACCAGAAGATCCTTTATTAATTACAAGTCCATGTATGCGAGCATTAGTAACACTTGCAGGTGTAACATTAAACAGAAGAATTGCATTACGTAGAACACAATCCAGAGACCAAAAAAATAAAAAAATTACTTGGACAAAAGCTACAACTACAAAATTAGTTAATAATATGTTTGAAACATTTTTCTCTGACCAAATAGCTACAAATAGTGACAAAGAAATATCGGTACGTAATTAAGATTCTTATAACAAATAAACTTAATATCCTAATTATAATAAATATAACTTTTCGTTAAATAGGGACCTAAAAGGCATAGATGTGGAATATGTGAAACTTGTCAGCAGCCAGATTGTGGAACTTGTACAGCTTGCAAAGATATGATTAAATTTGGTGGGTCTGGAAAAAGTAAACAAGCTTGTAACAGAAGAAGATGTCCAAATATGGCTATACAGGTAAAATAAATTGATAATTTTTACTAGTTTTGGGTAATTTGTTTTAGTAACATGTGTATATTAAATTTTATTAATTATAGGAAGCTGATGATTCAGATCAGGAAGATGATGAACTCAATGATACACTGATAGAAAATATAAAAATTACTCAGAAAATGATATTAAAAGAATTTAAACATGTAGAGAAAGAAATTACATGGGTGGGAGAACCAATAATAGATGATGGACGAAGAACATTTTATAATTCTGTTATGGTTGTTGATGAAGAAATAAAACCACATGATTATGTTTTGATTGAATCCAGTGATCCTACTGTACCATTACAAATAGCTAAAGTCATATATATGTGGGAAGATAAAAATGAGGCAAAACTGTGTCATGCTAATTGGTTTAGAAGAGGTAGCGATACCGTACTTGGTGAAACGTCGGATCCCTTAGAATTGTTTTTATTAGATGAATGTGACAATGTACCATTCACCTCTGTTAAATCGAAAGCTACTGTTATTTATAAAACTAGTCCAGAAAATTGGAATGAATTAGGTAATTATATTATCTGCTTTTGGAGACGTTATATTATGAACATTTTTAAACATTAGTTAATTATATTTTAGGGAATGCAGATGTGTTACCAGAAGATGAAATACAAAATAAAGATGGAAAGACATTTTTCTATCAAAAGAAATATACTCCAGAAACGGCTCGTTTTGAAGATCCTTCTCCAGATCCTGTATGTCCACGAAAAGAAATCAGCCATCGGTTTTGTCCTGCTTGTGTACGTTTTACCGCGTTACAATATTATTATACACCAAAGGTTTTTGATCGAAAAGAAGAGAAAAGTAGCAAAGAAGTAACGTACAACACGGTGAAATATAAAGGCGAAGAATTTAGGGTTGGATCTGCTGTATTTTTAATATCAGGAGCTATAAAATATAAATTTACATCTACATATCATATTTCTTCGAAAGTGAAGAAAGGAAAAGTAGACGAAGATATGTATCCCGAATATTATCGAAAATCGTCAGACCATGTGAAAGGATCGAATTACGATACACCCGAACCCTTCCACATTGGATATATAAATGCAATATATGCAAAAACTAATAATAAATTAGTTGCCTCATCTGATATATGGATTAAGATAAATAAAATGTATCGACCGGAAAACACACACAAAGGCCTTACATTAATTCAGCAAGTTGATCTTAATATGGTGTATTGGAGTGACGAAGGTAAGCTGTTATTTAAAATACCATAGTAATCAGTAGCTCATATAAATTAATATAAACCGTTTGACAAATCTCTTTTAATTCAAATATTTCAGTTTGCGATATCAAATTTTCGGACGTAGCTGGAAAATGTTATCTAATGTATTCGGAAAATTTAGATCAGTCTGTAGAAGAATGGACTGCTGCTGGATCGAATCGTTTCTACTTTTCTCAAGCATATAACGCTTCAGAAAAAACATTTGTAGATCCACCAAATCACGCTATGAACATTGGAAAGTCTGTCAATGGAAAAGGAAAGGGGAAAGGAAAAGGAAAAGCAAAGTGCAAAAGCAAAACATTAGAGTCTAATAATGCTAACAAATTAGTTGATAAGCCAATAGATTATTGCAGTGTGCCAAAAAAATTGAAAACTTTAGACGTTTTCGCTGGTTGTGGTGGTCAGTATAAAATTTCAAGTTTAATTACACAAACTCTTAAAAGTGTCTCTAACGTAAAATATATATTGTAGGATTATCTGAAGGATTGCGACAAACTGGTATTGTAGATAATCAATGGGCAATTGAAAAAGATGAACCAGCTGCATATGCATATCGACTTAATAATCCTGATACAACGGTATTTTGTGAAGATTGCAATGTCCTTTTGCGAAAGGTTATGAATGTGAGTTTAGTCGACAATTACTAGAATTAAAGAAAAGTGCAACATACACACAGGAATATAAAATATTTTTAATTTTTGTGTAGGGTGAGCTTTGCGATAATAATGGACAACGCTTGCCTCAGAAAGGGGAAGTAGAATTATTATGTGGTGGACCACCATGCCAAGGTTTTAGTGGCATGAATCGCTTTAATTCGCGCCAATACTCATTATTTAAGAATTCTTTAGTAGTATCATGTTTGTCTTATTGTGATTATTATAGACCAAAATTCTTTGTTATGGAAAATGTTAGAAATTTCGTGTCTTTTAAAAGAAGTATGGTACTCAAATTAACATTGAGATGCCTCGTACGAATGGGTTATCAATGTACATTTGGTATCCTACAAGCTGGAAATTACGGTATTCCGCAAACAAGAAGAAGGTACATAAGATTCAAATTATAACGATTGAATGTTTTGGTTTACATTTATAATTATTAATATTATATCTTTTTTGTTTTAATTCGGATTTAGGTTAATAATATTAGCTGCTGCACCTGGAGAAATTCTTCCAAAATATCCTGAACCGACCCATGTATTTAGCAAACGTGCATGTCAATTAAGCGTTATTGTTGACAATAAGAAAGTAAGATTTAATGAAATTTTCATAAAAATTAATAATGCATTCATATAAATTTGCTAATATTTTTTTCATCTAATTTTCATAGTATTCATCAAATTGTGATTGGACAGAGTCGGCACCATACAGAACAATTTGTGTTCGTGATGCAATGTCTGATTTACCTAATATTCGAAATGGATGGAACACAGAAGAGATGGCTTATGGCGATGAACCAGTATCTCACTTTCAAAGAAAAGTAAATAAAGTTACTAATTATTAACAAATTAATGTTAACATCAGTACAATTGTTGTTAAACAAACTCTAATGTTAATTTACAGGTAAGATCAAAAGAACCAGATGCAATATTAAGAGATCATATTTGTAAAGATATGGCACCATTAGTTGAAGCGCGAATAGCACACATTCCAACTGCAAGCGGATCTGATTGGCGGGACTTGCCAAATATTGCAGTGCGTTTAAGCGATGGAACATATTCAAAGAAATTGTAAATAGAATTAATTTGTACATTTTTAGATGCCAAAATAACATTATTAGTTTGATGAATAAATAACCTTCTTGTGTTGTAGAGAATATATTCATCATGATAAGAAAGCAGGAAAAAGTTCAACTGGTGCACTTCGTGGTGTGTGTAGTTGTTGTGTGGGTAAACCATGTGATCCATTGGCTAGACAATATAATACTTTAATCCCATGGTGTTTACCTCATACTGGAAAACGCCATAATCATTGGGCAGGTTTATACGGCAGATTAGAATGGGATGGATTTTTCGGTACTACTATTACTAATCCTGAACCTATGGGTAAACAGGTACGTATTATTGTATTTTGTCTGAAATTCTATCTCCATATATTTAACTCTATTATATATACGTAGGGCCGTGTTTTACATCCTGAACAAACCAGAGTTGTAAGCGTAAGGGAATGTGCCAGATCACAAGGTTTTCCGGACTCTTTCCGTTTTTACGGAAATGTACTTGATAAACATCGTCAAATTGGAAACGCAGTTCCACCACCGTTAGGTGCTGCTCTGGGTTTTGAAATTAGAAAATGTTTAAAAAGTGAAAATAATGACAATGTAGGCAAGACGTTGGATGGTTTTAATGATTAATAATGTTATAAGCGCATGTTTTTATACCAAACTTTAAATATTATTTGGGATTTTAATAGTAGTACTCTAAGATACAGATCGTTTATTTTATCTACATAAATTTACCAACATGTGTTCAGTAAAAATATGTAGATGCTTTTATTATTTACGTGACCAAAAGTATTATACGAGGCATATATTAATATGCAACATTAATGGCAAAAAGTGCAACGTTTGTTTCAATAGATATGATTTTCAGGAGTAGAAATCAGTATTTTAAATTAATTTATAAGAATAGTTCTTTATGTTTAGAGCCTTAAGACTTCGTATATATCTAGAGCTGTTTTATATACAGAAGCATTTATAATACTATTACTATATGTATATACTGTATCTTTTTACAATTAGATGTTAAAAATAATATGGTTTAACATCGTTTTAGAAGAAAATAACGACAAATAAAATTATTAGGTAATACAAGAAAATATTTATTGTGGAATAAAAGTTTTATAATAAAATCATATATTTTCAAATATATAAATATCCTTACCACTTTTCTATTATTTCCTTTTTGAGTTGCATATGACAAAAACTTTCTTCACCAATCTTTCAGTGAAAATTTGAATACATGGATTAGTAAGCATTAATAGAGTAATTTCACACCCATTCACAGCTGTTCAGGTCTGCTCAAGTAGAAAAGTAGTGTTTTCAACACACGAAATACATGTTTCAATAATATAGGAAATAGTTAACAAACTTTTTTAAATAATATGTGGGCGGATACCGTTTTAATTGTATTCATTAGTATCTGTACAGCTTTATTAGGAGAAGGTATTGATTTCTTTAAATTATTATGGTTAGAGGTTATATTTCTTATTTCCATATATTTTTTTCATTAATTTTTGCATTATTCATAGGTTTGACATGGTTAATGGTTTATAGAACAGAAAAATATCAAAAATTAAAAGCTGAAGTAGAGAAACAAAGTAAAAAATGTAAGTTTTTAAGTAATAATATGTTAAAAAAACATTGATCTTTTAAAATTTTATAGTTAAACTGATCATAGTTTCAATAAATTTAAATTTATGTTTAAATAAAACTGATTGTAGTGGAAAAAAGAAAGGAGGCACATGGAGATTCATTGGATAAACAGCAGAAAAAGAAAATTGAGAGAGAAGAAGAAAGATTAAAAAATAACAATAGGGATTTATCTCTTGTTAAAATGAAATCAATGTTTGCAATTGGGTTTGCATTTACAGCTCTCCTAAGTATGTTTAATAGCATTTTTGATGGTAGAGTGGTAGCACGGTTACCTTTTGTACCAATTAGTTGGATACAAGGTTTATCACATAGAAACTTACCAGGAGATGATTATACAGAATGTTCATTTATTTTCCTGTATATACTATGCACTATGAGCATTAGACAGGTAAGTTTATACTTTTCGTATTTTGTTATAATTTTATTGTTTGTATTTTTATTTTAAAAAAACTTTATTGTTTGCAGAATATTCAAAAAATGCTTGGATTTGCTCCATCTAGAACTGCAAGTAAACAAAGTGGGAGCATTTTTGGTCCTCAACCTCAACAATTTAAATGAATTTAGATCAGTATTAAATTACAAAATTGAATATCTTATGATTTATTGGATAATTATTATTTAAATTTTGGTATCATACTTGATAATATGCTCATTATGTTGATGAGTGACTAATATAAAAATTATGTGAAGTATAGATCAAATATATTATAATATATATCTGCAGTGTATATTATAAATCTTAAGTATATTTAAATACACACACAAGCAATATATATTTAATACTGATGTTTTTTAATAAAACTTTATATGATACATTATTACAGTGGATATTAAAATGATCCACAACTAATTATTTAAACGTGAAACTTTTAATACGTTTGAACAAATATATAATTTTAATGAAAAAGTAATTATAAACGTAAAACGTTGCTTTCATATAAAAGTGAAAAGACAAAGAGGAGTATTAGAAAATAAGGACAGAAAATAATAAAAAGATGAGAGTATAAAGATATTGTAAAGGAAGCTTTTCAATTGATGTAATTGATAATAATGCAGCATATTTTAGAAAATAGGTATGACTCATGTATTCCATCAAGCAGCTCTTATACAACAATCAATGTTATATACAAACATAACGATCAATCATATACAAAAAAATAACCACTACCCTTAATTCGTACAAAATATCTAATATAATAATAGTATATTAACGATCTATTTTATGGAGTACATATTCAAATTTTTAAGTGAACATGCACTCTATAAATATTAGATCGCTCTGCACTTAACTACTTCAAATCATACATACACATTTTTACTAAAAATTGTTTTCTTTTATATTATTACATACCATTTAAGCCTAAAACAGTCTCTTGTTATTAGAGCTAGCAATATTTTATACAAAATGATACAATTATGATATTTACAATAAATCTACATACACGACTAAATGTAAGATATCTTAATTTAATAAAAAGTTATTTAACTCGTTATTTGAACTTTTGGTGTTACAATGTTCCGTTGTATATTACGCTTAATTCGTTTTAACAGCATTAATTACATATATTCATTAGTAGAAAGCGATTAAACACCCATCTGGCAATCTGAAAGACAAATGCTTCTTAAATTGGAATTTGCACTTCCTGCTCATTAACTTCATACACTTTGAAATTACTATTCGTCATGCCAATAAGATTAAAATTCGCAACGACCCCGTTGATTTGATTACCTCAACAATATTTTCGGCAGTGGCTACTGTCTGTAAATCGCAAACGTAAAAGGAAGACATGTCTAATCGAGACTTCATTTTATATGATGAAAATATTTTTGTAGGTTTTTTTCAAACTCTTTTCTAAATGTCCATTTGAAATGATAATAAAACGTAACGTGTAGGAACCTCTTGCCGTCCAGCAGCAGTCGATGAACCTATCGTTTTCATTTCATTGTCATCTTAGATTTAAAGTATTTTTCAACTTCGAAATTCTGCGGGTATTATTCACGAAAAATAAACTTATCACACTTTCTCTTTCTAATATTCATCTTCCATATTACGTAATGCAAAGAAATCGAAAATTATTGAATATCATTTAAATCTTGTGAAAATATAAGTGTATAAATATCATGTACTTGATTCTTTGCATTATTAATAGAAAATTGCACATTATCATTAATTCTCTCGGCTAACGTGAGCTTGTGTCGAATATGACTCGATCATTTCAGGAGAACCATTCATTCTTATTGATTCATTTCAAATAGAATGAACTTTTATATCACGTTACCACGGAAATTCCAAATAATTCTTCAATTAATTTAATTTCTTTCAAAATGGTGGACAGTTAACTCCAGGATGCAGATATTGACATTTATCGCCGACGCGACAATAACCGTTCTTTGAAAATTGTCTGCATACCGGTGGTTGTTTCCCACTTCCCCTCCATCCGCCGCCACCGCCCCTCCACCCACCTCTTCCAGGTGGTCCCCCACCACCTCTGTACCAACCAGGTCCAGGAACACCTCTACCTCTACCATGCATTGGACCGCCGCCTCTTGGGCCTTGAAAGTTAGGACCAGGGCCGTATAAAGGACCAGGAGGCCCTTGGAAATTGTTTGGGTTCATGTTATTGAATCCCATATCTTCTGGACCCATCATGCCATAACCTTCTTGTTGTTGATTGTACATAGGTGGCGGTCCCATCATTCCAGGTGGTACCATTGGACCACTTTCCATTCCTGGTGGAAATGCATTTGGCATATTTCCCATTGGGTTCATTCCCATTCCATCAGGTACAACAACTTTTCCATCACCAGTTCTCCATCCACCTCCTCCACCAGTAGACATTGGTCCTCCTATTTCAGGACCTAGTGGACCCATATGAGAAGGTCCCATCATTTGTTGAGACATTTGAGGTATTGGGCCCATTGCAGTTTGAGGGCCCATAGGTGCCATTACTGGCTGTTGATTATGAGGAAATGATGGATAATGGAAATTCGAAACAGCAGGTGTTTGAGGCTGTAATTGAGGTTTTGGTTCTGGCCATGGCATGGAAGTAAAGTCTTTTTCACTTTCCTTATTTCCCGTGAGATCATCCAAAGGAATGATTTTAGGTTCACTATATACATGATGACGTTCTTCATCGGGTTCTGCTGCAGAGTCTGGAATCCTAAAATTAAAAATATAAATTATTTATATTATTGCATAACAAATTACATAATATAAATCTTTTTAATCTAGCATGCATATTTTTTTATTTTTCACACGAGTATATTAAATTGTTCTTATATATATTCGTGCGTCTCAGCATGCGATATTAAATTTTATTTTATAATATCGTAAGAGTCGAGGAAAAATTGGGAACACCCAGGCGGCGAGAATCGAACCCGCGACATCAGGCTGGTAAGCCAGGCTTCTACGCCCTCCGCTAAGGCGCCTCTCACTAATTCCTCGTTCTTATAGCTTCTACTGATGTATATGAAGGTCACGATTCCATTTTTTTATTTTAATCAATAAAAAATAAATATTTATCGATTGATACATGTACTTACATGCTTCGGTTGAAGTACAGTGCCTGTAAAATTCCTTTCTCTCGAGCATACTGAATATCTTTTTCTCTACTATCTTTTCCAGGCTCTACTAAAGGTGGCGGTAGATCGATTGGGATTAAAGGTTTCCACCTTGTTCTTTCTTCCATTAGATCTTCATTACCTATAAAAACAATTTGCATTAATCATTTAAGAAATTTGACTTTTAATATTTAAAACAATATAACAAATTAGATTCTAATAACATACTTAATTTTCTGGCCATTTGGAATGCTTCTCTCTCGTTTTGCTTC